TCAAGTTCTTATTACTGCTCGTTTCGAAACGAATTTGCGAATCGATTCAGCTGAGATAATCGAAGACGATTTGATTTTAATACGGTGACGAAGGACGTTAATTAAGAAAATTACCGGTCCCTCCTTTCCTCGATTTTCCACCTTGAAACTGATCCCAATTTGAGCCTTCATTGAGTTTCGTAACGGATGATCTTAATAATTCTCTAGATAGCTTTTCACCGCTACGAGATTTAACGACATCAGAGATATCATGTATCTTTAATTTTGTTAAGGAAGCAAATTAGAATTTAATGAAAATAAATTTTATATAGAGTGGATTGTAGTTCTTATTATATCAATAAAGATAAATCGAAACGATTCTCAAAAGTAAAAAATTTTGAAATTTAATCAATTATTAGCAGTTGTTATTTATATTTATATTTAATATAATTTTATTTAGTATATTTCAATATTGCAATTCTAAAATATAAAATTCTATAAAATCTTTAAATAATACATGCTTCGATATTGGAAAGCTACAAAATTTCAAAAATTTAGATAAATTTAGATTTACTATCTTCAAAATATAAAATTAAAAGTACACGAATCTCTTTAACATCCAAACGATTAAAAAAAATGAAAAGAGAAGAAAATAAATTTAATACTGTAGAATTATCAAAAAATCATCATCAATTACGAAGATCGGGATCATCTGAGATTGAGAATGATTAATTAGATTGATGATCGAACCAACGCTCGCGAATCTGGCTCTCGTCGAACAGAACGGAAAAAAGATAGGAAATAGAAAACAAAAGCAGAGGGAGGCAACAAGACGTTCTTCAAACGCAAAGCGCAAGTAAACACATTCACAGAGTGTGATAATTACGTGGTGGCAAGAAAATAAGATTGCTCTCAAGATAATTGGACGGAAAGCCTGATTGATTCGTTGGTCTGTTCGTTGCGCCATGGCTCACGCTTATTAGGCAAGACACAATCAAACTGATATAGAAAAAAGGAAAATCTTGAAAAAATCATGAACACGTGAACGCAAAATATCGAGAGATGTGTTTTCTACAGACAAATTGAAATAAAATTATACGAAACAAGAATAAAACAATGTGACAATTAAGAACAAATCCTTGGTTAGATGCTTCGAAACATCTCCTTTACATATCCTCTCACCGATTTCCTTCATAAGTCACTATCATTGCCTTCCCGTTTTTCCCATTCCAATTCAACAATTCCATTACATTATGAAATATAGCATAATTTTTTCCCTATCATCTATCCACCCAACGAAGAAAAATGACTCGTTTCTCAATGATCATTGATCAGCATGGAAGTTTCGCATTCTTCTTGCTCACTTATGGATTTTGTTCGTTTCCTCCGTTTGGTTTCTCAGTGTAATGTTTGTTGTAGAACCGAATTGTTGGTAATGTGTAAATGTGTTAACACGTAGCTTATTACGATAAATAAATTCGTAACAAATTTTTACACGGCATCGAAACAAATGTAAAAAAACAAATCCGATAATATGTTATATATATTATTATATGTTATATGTTATATGTATAATAATATTAATACACGTATCCTCTTTCAGTTAAGATTATTCGTGTGTTTCATGCAAATGAGGGAACAGAAAAATAAAACAGAACTCACTGTGAACAATAACTCGGGTTCCGTGTTACATCAAGATCCGATCGAACGGATTGAAGAGGATGCTTCCTCGACCTATTTCATCGACAAGGAGGGAACGATTCCATCGGCTGGCTCGAAAACGATTCTCTCTCTCTTGTCCAGATCTTACACGATTTAAGATAATCGTAACGACAATTGCATCGAACGATCGAGTCGTTGTGCATAGAATATCATATGTATGGATCACGAAAGATCGAGTCAAGAGGATTAGAGGGGTGCAGGATATCGAAAATAAGAATTCGAAAAAGATTTCGGAAAAATTCAAATGAGATCAAGTGAGATTTCAATGATCTCCTCCTATGTTTCCTCTGCCATCTCGAAACTTTCGACAATAATCGAACACGATTGGTTCAATTCTCGATCCGATCGTTGCAAAAGCAATTCGAATAATTATCACTCTTTTCGAAACTTTCAGAATTCAGATTCTGGGTACAAGCACGAACGAACGAGCCTTCGGCTGATTTCGGTCGACTTCGATAATGATCGGATATGATCGGTTCGAAGACTCGTTCGTGCTCGATTATAAAGTATTTGGATTCCGATTTCACCCGATCTCGCCCGAATTTTCCCGATTTATTCCGAAATTCGAATTCTCCATGTTGCAACGATGATCCCACATACTTCTAATAACAAGGATATTCCGCTCGAAAGAGGAAACTACTTACCTATAACTAATGAGATACGATCGGTTGGTGAAACATCCTCTCGAGAATTGATCGGAAAAACGCATTCGAGGAACCGTCGCTGATGGAGAATATCAATGATACACGGCCTCTCATGCATGTATGTGTTGTGTATATTTCCATATATATATATACTTGAACTTTGCGCGATGCTTGTATGTGAATATATCGGGATAATTTATTTTTGTGTGTGAAATAAAAGAAAAAAATAAAATTGGAAAGTAACAGGAGGAGGATCGATCGGATGGTTCTACGATCGAGTAGATGATGGCGATAGAAAGGCTGTTAAGAGTTATTTGAGATAATTGAAGAAATTTTATCTTTGTCTTTGTTACTTAAGATTGGAAGATCTCGAGAGAATTATTGGAAATCTCGGTTAAATTTATCGTCTTGGAAGAATTGGAAGTTTAAAGTTTCTATGGAAAGCAATTGTGCAAGTTCGAGCGTTCGAGTAAATATAATTATAAAATTTTCTTGAGTATTTAATATAATCGCAAATAAAATGGCATTTTTAAACAAAGTTTTTGAACGCTTTGATTAAGAGATGTGAAAGTCCATGTCTTTCTAATCTTCATATATTTATAATTTGCATTTATCATAAACATAGACGTAAAGACAAATATCATTGAATAACTATAAAAATTACAAAAAGACACGGTACATTATTACTTTTTTACATCTTGGCGAAATTTCGATTTATTAACATTATCTTAGAATTGGCAATTTCAATCATTTATTTTAAAACTTTCATATTAGATATACCCATTACGCTTAATAGAGAAGAGAAACTAAAGGAATAGAGATTCTCCAATAATATATCACAGATACAGACTTGGCCAGTTAACGAGATACTGTAACCCAATTTACTTTTTGTGATTTACTTTCGAAAGTTATTTATATAATCTTAATGGACACTGTATAGATAATGACCATTTGAGGATTCAACATTCAACATTTTTAAAAAATATCCATTTATAAAAAATATTCTTGAAAGCAATCGAAAGTTATTTCTCTAGAAGTTGATGTCATTTGCAAAAAAAAAAAAAAAAAATTACACTCTCGAGAGTGATTCAGTAACTTTTCTCTCAAATGAACTCTCTGAATCCTAACATTCATCGCCACGAGTAGGGAGAATGTAAATAGGTCGATGCACGAGTGGTAAAGGGAGAAAGAGAGAGATACGGAGGAATTATATGGAGATTTTGTTTCGTAGAGAAGTTGGAACAATAGGAATTGAGTAAGAGTCGCGAGGACAATCGGTATAATAAAATATACATGTCGAGCAGACGGAAAGCGAGACGTGTATGCAACGTGTGTGTTCAACGTGTGTGCGTGTTTCGTGTACAACGAGTATATTTTGACTTTTCGTGGTATTTCTCTGCAGTGGTGGAAGATAGACACGCGCGGCCTCGTTGTGTTTTCGTTCTATCTGTTGCCTGACAAAAAAATTAGGGAAAAAGAAAAAGGAAAAAAGAAACGAAAAAAAAGAAAAAAGATTGACAGGGGGAGAGCCTGGACACTGGTCCCGACGAAAATTCGAAAGAAAAAAAGAGAATCGAAGCGGAACTTCTTGCCCGTTGTAAATGAGAGACGGTTCACTTCGACATGTGGATAGAGAGATCGATTGGCGGAAAAGAGTTTGTGGGACTGTCCGTGAAAAAAAAAAAAAAAAAAAAAACGAAAAGGAAATCCACCACTGGCACGAGAGTTTCTTTTTACACACGACTCGGTCGGTCGTATCTCTTTTGTTTCTCGTTTTGTTTCGTTTTATTTTATCTTATTGTTATTTTTTTTTTTTTTTTTCGTTTCTTACCAAACATACATGGACGACAAGGATACCTATATCCATGTATAAATGTATTTCGTATAACATTTATTTGTCGAAAGACAACGTAAGGATTTGTATAACGAGCTCCTTTATTTTTTTATTTTTTATTATATATTATTATCGTTTACTTTTAGTTTCTCTCTTTTTTTTTTTTTTTTTAATATCTCACACACATTATGCTTTACTTTATATATACAGTATTTCCTGCGGCAAACGCGGCAGCGATTCTCTGTAATGCAGACAGTTCCAAAAACTGACCGTGAAACATTGAATAACGTATAATATATACGCGTGTACATATACATATATATAAAAAAAGAAATGAAATCACGGGGTGGAAGGGAGAGGGGACCAGCCAGGCCCCATTATCGTCGTAGATTAAAAAAGAAACATTGCAACGAACGGCGACGCAAAGCTGTACAGACAGACAGCGCGGCCAGATAGGGTAGGTTGTATAAAAGGTATAAAAAATAAATAAATATAGATATATAGATATATATATAGAGACAAAGTCAGTCACTTTTTGAAACTGACAATAAAATAATACGACGACGAGACGCTTGGTTTCTTTTTTTTTTCTTTTTCTTTTTCTTTTTTTCTTTTTTTTTCTTTTCTTTTTTTTTTTTTTTTTTTTTTTTTTTTTTTCTCTTTCAAATTTTTATACAAGGATCACAAGCTGTGGGTATTATATGAGGTGTATATATATATGTATGTATATATATATATACTATATATATATAAATAGAATATCAAATTAAAAAAAAAATAGATACGGTGCTTTCGTATAAGAAACAGTGGTAAACACTCACATAGACCTCTTCCCATTGCGAGACATACCGCACCAGTCTTGACAACCGTAGTAACCTAACGAGCGACAACAATTTCGCAAGCCTGAGGATCCTGAGAGCACGGCCAGCATGCAGGATCTGGAAGGACTCGCTAAAGTCCTGAAACTGACGATTGAAAACGATTATTCCGTGGGAATCTCGTCCCATACGCGGCCCATTAACGCTGCGTTGAATTGAATCTCAGGTTAGCGCTTATTCAAAGAGGGATTGAGGGCGGCTTAAACCGAGCTTAATTTGTCTTGTCTGGTGGATTCCGGTGAAAATTATATCACGTTTTCAAGCGGAATTAATTTAATTTGAGTAGGTATTTCTAGAAATTTTCTTGAGGGGAAAGAAAAAAAAATTATATTCCGAGAAATAGTGTAATTGGTTTTAAATTTAAATTAAAAGATATTATCTTTTTATTTTAAATACTGTATAATAAGGAACAGAGATTGGAAAGGTAAATTCAATTTAAACCGCTCTTATTTTTGAGGATTTAATAGTATTCTGTTACATTTAACACCACTATTAATGTTTTTTAATGGCGTAGATTCATTAGCAAATTGCATTAAAATTAAATAAAAAATAATATAATTTATATATATATATATAAAATATATATAAAAATACAATTAAAAAAATAATCTTTAATAGAATGAAATAAATATTCGATCATTCTGAAAATAAATATTTTGTTTTTAATAAGCTATTATTTATGCATTTTAAATGTAAAAAAATACTCATTAAAATGTTCATTAAATTGCAATGATTTTAAAATATTCAAATGAGCCTTCGAAAAGTTTTTAAATGACCTTCGAATAAGCTTTTTTAAACATTTTTTGAACGATTTTCAACTGATATTAAAATATTCATAAATAATTTTCGAAGGATTATAGACATCTTTCAAATAATTTAAAAATCAAGGATCTTTTAAATGACTTTGAAAAATCATTTTTAAAAGATATTTGCAAATATTCCTACTAAATTCTTACATAATTTACATTTTCTAGCTAAGTTATCTCAAACGATAAATAACGATTATCTTAAACAATATAATTTTTAAAGAATTTTAATAAAAGATCAAAATTACATGAATTTTTAATTTCTCGTTGACAATAAATTTTTCTCGAAGTGAACAAGTTAAAATAAATTTTCAAAATAATCAAATAATAATACATGCAAATTAAATATTGACTTAAAAACGAAAAACAAAAATATGAAAAATACCAAAGTGTTGAAGTATTCATTTCGTATACCAAAAAACAGTTATAATTAATGTATTTATACAATTGGAAAAACTATATCCTGAAATGTTGCATATCACGCCAACACTTGTGTAAACTGATTAATTACATAAATCGAGTTTTGGAGAGAAACTAAAACTCAACTCAGGTTTAACAAATTAAAGTTAGAGATACGTATATCAGGATACAGATAATTAATATGCACTTACTTGATTAAATATGAGGAAAATGTAGTCTAATGGTATGGAGGAAATGAGGTCGAGAAAGAACCAAGTCCTGAGGTAGTGTTTTGCGATTAATTTTGGGTCCAGGATCACTTGTTCGGCATTATCCTGTTGCATTATACCTAAGCAAATATATAATATACATAAATAAATATATGTATATCAACTTCAAAATTTAATTAATTTTTTTATTATATTATTTTTTATTTATTCTATTATATTCTTTAAATTTTTCTATATTTTTTTATATTATTCTTTATTCTTTATTTATTGTTTTGTTATTTTCTTTTTTTTATTTTATATCTATTCCATTATTCTTTTATTTCATTTCCCTATATTTTTTAATTTAAAATTGGAAATTGAAAAAATTTTACTATTTCTTTCTTTAAAGTATAAAAACAAGAATTTTAAATAATATTTTTAATTTTAACGTAACCGTTAATAAACAAATTCTTGAATAGAGGATTTTTCTGATTAAATCTTTCTACGAGCTTTATTTACATTAAATTTTATTCCTGCAAAATTTTAGTGCGGTGATATTTACAACTCGATAATAACAAATTAATCTTTAGAATTAAATACAAACGCTAAACTAACACAAGTAATTGAAACTGGAAAAATTAATAATGTGTTGCTTTTGATGTTTCGAATTAAGAATAAAGGGAATAAAATTTATTTATAACTTATGTATATGCAATGATACCCTGTGCCTTATTTGACTACAAAATTGAGCTTGAACTGTTTCTGTCGTTTCTCATCTTTCTCAATCTGTTCAAGATATTCTTCAAATAACAAAGTAACAGAAGATAAATCCAAAATCTCAATTAATTTACACGTTTAATACATATATATATATATAATTTTAAGATGAAACATCTATTAACTCGTATTTACTCATCTTGGAGGATAGAAACATTTTTTATTCTCTTAAATTCCTTAAATTAGCCACAACTAAATCTAAATAATTTGTTAACATTTATTCCATTTGAAGGATAGAAAGAGAAAAAATTATTATAAAAACACTTTTCAAAAAAAAACAGCAGTAAATAAATCTTAATAAAGAAAGTTAATTCCACATCTAATACACATATCAATTCTAAAACGAATCATCCACTCAATTTGAAGAAAAAAAAAATCTATCTGCCAAGACTTATATTCTCAATTCTATTATTCACAATCGAACGATTCTTCAATGCATCGTTAAAATTCCTACCAATACGAGTAACAAGTAACGAATTCGTCCATTCCCAGCGACTTTGCCTCTCCCGGAATCTGCCACCTCATTAGCATGGAAACATTTCACCCTCGATCGACTCGATCGGCGTTCGCCGGCAGAGGCGTTAGTATTCGGCACGTGGAACGCCAATATTGGCCGACGGCCGATAATCTGGATCAAGAATTCGCGACAATCGCGAATCCGACGCGGCCCACGTACACGGTTTAACGCGTACAATGGCTTTCATCGGGCACGTGACCCAATTCGGTTCCCGGGTACGCGTTTCAAATTAATCCACACGGCGAATAACGAAACGTCTGAGCCGGTGTACCAATGTGTTGAGCAATGTGTGATTAGAATATGGCACCGCCTGAAGGGTTGCCAACGTGCCGCGCTCAACACGCGTTTTATTTCTTGATGATTTAATAACAGTCGAAGATTCATTTGGGGAGAATTGTTGATGTATAATTTTATCTTGATAAGAGACGGCTCTGTGGAATTATCCGTATTTAGGATTGATGGACGCTTGGGGAATTTGGGTGAAATAGATGATGTCATGGATGCTGTAATATTTTGAAGATATTTGAATTTGTTAATGCGACAGGAGATATGAAATGAATTAATTTCCTTTTTTTTGTTAATAATAAATTAATTATATACGAGATATCTTTAACTTCAATTGGATAACTTGTAATTTATCAAATTGTTAATGTTGAAATGAAATTATAGGAAAATTAACGGGAAATTATTTATAAAAGGAGAAAAATGATTCAGCTCTTGGTGTTCGTTTAAAACTGTGGATTTAAATCAGTTAACATGTTGATTGATATACGAAATTTGTATGTTTTATTATTTTTCAGAATGGCAAAATGGTTTTGAATATTTTAACACTGTAATATTCACAGTTCAATACATCTTATTAAAAAGTAAAATTGTTTCGACGCTATTGGGCACATTTAATATTTTTAAAAATTTTAAAATCAATTGTATCGCATAGCCTTTGAATCGTGAAAATAAAATTTGACTGTACCTTATAAATCTCTGAAAAATATTGCAATGGAAGAGACGGAAATATGGTCATTAAAATTTCGATCAATTACTAAAAATAAACGTAAAACAAGATTGGAATTCGTATATTACTGAGTCAATAACACAATAAAATTAATCTTCTCATATTTCCATTCTATATCATATTTCCAATTTGATTAAATTTCCTTTATTAGAATTAACTTTCAGACCATTCCTCATTATTCAAACCACTTTTTGACAAAACGAAATTGGATCCTTCGGTTTCACATTGGAATGTAACTTCATAAAAATGTAATCGACTCGTGTGAAAGCCGTGATTTCCCGGCTTTTGTTCGTTTCCTTTCACGGTCTCTCCCTATAGTAGCTTCCTTTTTAATGTCAACAATTAGAAGTTCCTTCTTTTCAAACTTCCCCTGAGCTTTCTCGAGGCGGCGACATGGACGATCTTTCAAAGAAGGTTGCAGTTCAAAGAAACTCACGACGATATTATTTAATCATCATCCGATGAAAATTTGAAGAATTAAAAAAAAAATTACTACGAGAATTTTTAAAATATTTAATTATATATTTAATTATATATTTAATATTATAAAATTTTTTCCTCTTTTCTATTTATTAGCATTCAATAGCAACGATAATTAGAATTTATAATTTTCATTGGATGAATTTTATTGGTAATATTTTGGTATTTAAATTTTAATAAAAGAATTTTTGTTTCGAAAAATATTTGATAATCGTGAGAATTTTCTAATATCTCTAAAACATAAAGATGAACTCTTTAAAACACTTCACAAATATTTGCTGCTAAGGTTAAATCCTTTGGGCATTTTATCTGAAGTTTTGAATAACGTTTCGAAATCTTGGAATTCCTAAAATTCGTAAAATTAATGGAGGAAATTGAAAATGGCGGTGTAAAAATTCTAAAAATTAAAATTTAAAAATTTTCATAGTTATTATTATTAACACAACATTTTAAACGTAACAGTTTTTTTTATAATAAATTAATAAATAAGTTATTTGTATTACACATTTAATATGTATATAAGTTTACTTCTTTTTCATTGTTATATTAGTAAATGATAATTAATAATAATTGAATATACATAATTAATAATTTGTAATATCTATTATCTTTATATTAGTTTGCAGAAAGAACATTATAACAAATAAATTTATCAAAAAATTGATTAGAAAGTTTTCTTTTACAAATAATCAATTACCGTTCTCTTTTTATAATAATTTAATTAACAATATTTAAATCTTCGAAATTCATAGCTCAGCATCTTTAATTGTTAGCATCAATATTCGCACGAAAATTCAAATTCTCTGGAAGATATCAAAGGGGTAGAAAAAGATAAAATTTTTACACAACTGTAAATTGTAAAAGTAAAGCAATTAAAAAGCCCAATTTATCTCCGGATAAGCTGATAACTCCAATCAACGAACGAGCCATTCGCATCCCTTTTGAAAAAACACATGTTCAAAGAAACACGATCTTCCTCCACACGTGGTTATACGAGGAAACGAGGGTGCGAGGGATACATTTAAGCGAATCGTCGTTTTCCAACGTTTTCGTTGGAAATGGAGGAAGAGAGATTTGGGTTGGCCCGATGAGAGGAGCACAGGGCACATGGAAAAAAAAAAATAGGAGAAGAAGAACGAGGTCGGCCATTCTTTCCTCCAATGTCCTCCTCCCAAACGTGCACAATGCAAACTTTGCATCGCTTCTGGCTCTCCCTCCCCACCGCGGACACGAGGTTACCATTAGTCCCAAAGTGATCGTCCAACGAAATGCCAAGTCTTTTCGTCGCTTCTTTTTGAAACGATCGAACGATTTTAGCTGAATGCCCTCGGCACACCGTCGATAAGGCTTTGAAAGCGGGGCTCAATTGGAACGAAAGAAAGTTTTTTAAAGGACTACGATATCGTGGGTTATGGAGTCTTGACTGTGTATGCTCTTGGATATTTCTCTTTTATTGCCGTGTGACTTGGAGCAAAATGAATTTACATTTGACCTACTATTGATCTGCCTGAGTTTAGAATACAATCTTTGAATAATCTCATCGTCACGTCGCCTGTTAGGTCGTTGAGAATTCTTTAAGATATTTGCTCGAATAATATTATAATTAATTTTTTGTTTCAATCTAAACGGAAATTGTTAACTTGAATTATTGTATATCATTTATATTTCGATTTTCTCCAAATTGTGCCAAAAATCACGAATTTGCGACTCGATGATTTATACTTTAAATATATACAGTGAAATGTAAGAAAATAATTATCGAAATTAATTTTTGGAAAGTTTATATATTAATTTAGTTAGATTTAATTTTTTTAAAATATCATTTAAACATTGTTTAAACAATGGATTTATATACATTCGCGTCATAAAGGATATTATATTGTATCAATCGAAATAAGTAACAGAATATCGGTGTTATTTTTCTTAAATATTCGAGAGCATGAACACTCACCTGTCCTGAAGTTGACAACAATGTCTATGAGGAATATCGTATCAGAAAGGCAGTTGAAGGCTATCCACCTAGTGCTTAGGTCGTCATTGAAAAAACTAATGGCGACTGGCAGAATTATCAGATTAGCTACCAGCAGGAGGAGCATGCAGAGATCCCAGTAGAATCTGAAATCAAAATTAAACGAACATTATTGATTAAATTAAACATATAAATTCAATAGAAACTGATGGTTAAAATGACCATAATCGAATACGAAAAAGTTTGAAATTGAATGATAAATTGAAAAAACAACTACATTAAGAACCATAACTTAATCAAACATATCAAGTAGAATATTCTTTAATGATCACACTTCTCCTTTACTTCTTGTAAAATATTCCAGACGCGATCAAGTAGTATTTTGTTCATCCTGTACGTTCACGATGCAATATTCATGGCCGATAAAACGAAAGGATTATCTTTCGACTTCTTATTTTCTCATAATACCATCGACATCGAGAGGATTCATCTCGATATGATATATGATTGTTTCGCGTGTGCACGCATGAAAATATCACGCATCGATGCGCTTGTTGGGTTGACCTAAAAGCGCTGGTGAAATCATTAACGATCCCATCGTTAAATAAAAGAAACGGCGATTCATCTTCGTAACAAGAAGAGAAGGAGAGGGAGCCGGAGGTGGCGAGAGCATTGCTTTTTCTCGAAGACACGTGGGGAGAGAAAACGTTCTCCAAGGGCGTAAGTTTAATTAACGGACCGCAGCCGCTTTTGCTTCGACTTTACTTTCAACTTCGCCTTTTCAGCGTTTAAGTAGTCTAGGGGTCTGGGGATTTAAACGAAGTGGAGGCTTTCGAGACGGCGGAAATATTGTTTCTTCTTTGTTTCCTCCAGATTCTCGGTGTTGTGAGTAACGTGTTTTAATTGCAATTGTGATTTAAGATGATAGAAGAGATTTAAGATGCGGTTAATTAAAATTTTCTTTTTTGTTACTTTTCAATTCGATTCAAATGTCTTCAATTCTGGTATGTTTTTTGGAATATACAATTTAGTATTAATCACGATTTTTTATAAATAAAATTTCTTAAATATAAATTGTTATATCTCAATAAATTGTTATATTTCAAAATCGATCTTTTCGAATTTCTTTTTATCGATTATTTATGATAAAAACATACATATTCTTTTAGATTATTTTTTATTTATTTAACAAAGTTATTATATTGTGTATATACATTGAAAGAAACAAAAAAAAGTTAAAAATCTTTTCGTCCCTTGAAATAATAACATAAATTTAATTAAATTTAGCGAATTCTCTTTTTTCAAAATTATCCCTTATCTCATAATTCTCCGCATCTTTCCATCGCAAAATATCTACAAACTTCAAAAATTCGAAATCTCTTTCTCATCGACCAAATACCATTCCAGTCCCGAACGATTCGAGTTTTTACCAACCTCTACTATAAAATGAAACAAAATGAAAAAAAAAAGAAAAGAAAGGAAAAAAAAGAGAGAGAACTTTCACGAAGTGGAATCGTTCCATTCTCCAAAGAACGAAGAAAGCCTCGCTATAAGATAGGAAGAGGAAAAGGGGAGGGGAGGGCGAGAAGCGCAATTTCTGAAAGATCCGCTTTAATCAGTTCGATTCCAGGGTAGGCAGCCAACATTGGCCCACTTCGCCGAGTAATAACGTAGCTACATCGAGGCAATAAATGTGCTCGTAGCTCGCGCGAACCTGTTCCAGCTTGGCTCGAAACCATCAACCACGAAGGGATGCTTTTTCTCGTCAGCACGCACCGATGAACGCGACCTTCCGCTTTGACACCATCGCGGAAAATTAGAAATACCTGTTCATCTGCCTGCTTCTGCCTTTTTCCTCGAAACCAATTTGTTTCTATTTTTGTCTACATTTTTCCCTCTATCGAGATACGGAGAAGAAATGAAATTGCAATTTTTTTTTAAGCGATTCGTATTTATTATATGTATAAGAATATTGATTTTATTCGTGGAACACGTCCACAGATCAATGTGAAAATAAAAGTTGATGGAGGCTTATTTATTTAATTGCAAGCAATTGAAGTTTGCGTTAGATGAAGTGAAAGTGAGATCGTGGTGTGATGAAGATAAAGACATATGCATATTCAGGGATTATTAGAGATATTGTTTGAATTTTTTAGAGGAGATAAAATTAGAGTTTCTTAATTACATTAGTTGTAATTAATAACTGATTACAACTATAAGGAATTATAATATAAAATTTAATATTAAGTTTACATTTTTTAAGATGGAGATTTGTGAATAGATTTTTCTAGAAGAATTGATATTTGATATTAATTGATAATTGTGAGGTAAAGATGTATAATTTTCGATTTTCCTCTCTTAATAATAAATCTAATTGTAAAATTCCTTAAATTTTTTTTCCAGAAAATATCTTATAATTTATAATGAGTTAGAAGAGGCTCGATGTACAAAACAATTTGTATTGAAATATTGTAATGAAATATTTCCATTCGTCTATTATTTTATTTATTACTATCGCGCGGGCGAATGAATCGAATCGTGTGAATCAAAACGAAAATAAAGAATGATTCCAAAGACTCTTTAAATATTTACCGAACCTAAAATTAAACCGGTGCTTAGCTAGCATAAATAAGGGGGAAGTAAAAATGATACGATCGAAGCAGGAACGCCTACACGTTTCCCATTTCAACTTCAATCCTGGTATTTTTAGAACCCTCTTCAAATGTTTGAGGAAAAGGTAATTATGAAGGGGTTCAATCACGTAGGAATTTTCTGTAACACATAAAAGGACCGATCACAATTTATTTTTAAATCGACAAACATGAAAAGTTAATCTGTAATTTTCTATAAATTAAAATCTATATATAAAATTAATATTTTCCAACCGAACAATATAATTCGAAACCTTTTGTATTAAAAAAATTTTTATATATAGATAACTATTAAAAAGACGGTATATGAATACTAAAATAAAGCAGAATTTAAAAAAATTCTCATTTAATTGTTCTACAAATCTAATGAATCAAAGAATTCTGAATCATTTACCTGAATTCCTAAAAGAGTAATCATATTTAATTCCATAATCGTAATATAATTTTATCGATTTATACTATTGTTATAAAATAAATTTCCAAAAATATATATCAAATCTTTCGTAATAATCAATTCAATTTTTTTAATTTAATCGTAATTATATTTCACCTATGATATTCTCGAGAGTGAATAATAGAGTTATCGATTGATTGGTACATACGTTTAAATATATTCATTAACGATATAAAGCATGATATTTCAGATTAAATAGCCTTCTTGAAACCTCTTTTTAAAACACCCTGTACGTGCCACTAGACACTGACCTAGAAGCGTCGAGAGATTACACCTTGGCGATAACCATATCCCCAAGAGTCGAGATTTATGCACGACTTTTTACACAAGGATCTCTGTTTTAACGAGCGCGCCTCGTGGCCAGCTACGCGAATTCGAGACAATTTAAAGCGTTTTCGAGCTTGTCTCCTGCCAACATTTTCGTTGGAACTGGACCTATCGTTCTGGAAAACCATTAGATATCCATTTTTATTTTTAATTTCCAATCTTCTAATTTTTATTGCAATTCAACTTTCTTATTATATTCATTGACTCGAAATAATTTTTGTTCATCTTTGAAGAAATTATTCTCTAGAAAATCGAATAAATTTTATCAATTATTAATTATAATCATTTATGAATGGGTAATTGATAATTATTGATTTATTTTAAATGGAATATTTTTAAAATCTATTATAGGAGAGATTAAGAGGATTTGAAATATCCTCTAAAATTGGAAATCAATGAACTCTTATGCTATATGTTAAATGTATTATATATTTAGAGAGAATGAAGAAATATTGAATCTTTTAATAAATAATACATTCCAAATTCTTAGAAGCTAGATGCTAAAGTTAGACGTTAAATAGATTATTTCTGCCTAATGTAGTAAGGCAAATGAGGATTAATGGTGTAATAACTTAAGATGAGAATTTCCAACCCTTGCTTCTCAAGCTCTATGTTATGCTTGTTAGAACAGCTAATTGATTAATTATAGCTCTTACTTCTATTTTACTTCTAAACTAATTTTCCCAAAAATTTTTTTAAACTTATACATTGTAACTTGTAATTTTACAAAATTTCACGTTCTTTTGATACTTTTACATCTTCAGATTTAATAATTATGTGTTTTTTTTTCTAAATAGAATTCAATAAATTTTTATTAAATTTTAAGATTTATAAAATGTGATAAATTTTAGAAAAATTCATAAGAAATTTTTAGATAATTTTATTCCAGATTTTACTCAGAATACTTGAAAATTGAAGGAATTGATTATATTATTCGGTGTTAAAAGAAAAATTAAAAGATAAATATTTGATCCTGAGAAAACTGTAAATGCAAATGACGAATTCCTCTATTGTTCTCCATTCAAGGAGAATACCTCTAACAAGATATACTCTCTCAAGGAGAATCCACGTATCAAGACATGCGGCGTATTCTTGAATTATTACAAATTTCTGGTCGTATGAACGAGAACAAACGGTACCAAGGCTTCGATACTCCTTCGTAGGGAATTTACGACAAAGGAACGTTGGAAGGCCGACTAAAATCGATTCTCTTCTCCTTGAAGCGGTGCTGTTCTCGAGTTGAAGTGTAACAAGGGAAAGCATCACCGTTGTGCAACAATTTCTATGAAACTTTGTAAACTGATAGGAAATTGAAGAATTATTATATACATGCTCTCGTCTGTGTATACCATTGAAACCGAAATATTTTGACGAATATTTTACCGTGGGAAGACAATGTTTCCTGTATTGGTTTTGAAAATGACAATATAATAACTATAAAATCGTATTTGCTTTTTATAATTAAATTATATATTTCTTATAATGGTGTCAGTACTCAATCAATAGTTTTTCAATTGGATAATCAATGATTGATAAATGGTTTGTCAGATGTCAGTGGTCTATCAATGATCAATTAGCGATCGACAGTTAGTCAAAAATCAATCAGTAATCAATAATCAATTGTCGAGCAATAGTCATTTTGTTAAAAATGTTTCTGACAGTTGTTAGATATTTTTGGGGCAATTGAAAGTACAATAAAAACCTCCTTCAAATA